TGTCTCGAAACTTGCTTGTGCTCCATTAGAATGTCTTTGTAAGAGAGAAAGTTGAAGTACAAGTCTTTCCTAACTAGGAAAAATGCATATCAATGGAGGCTACATTTATAATTATTTAAGCAATGAAAATTGCAAAATATATATTGAGGCCTTTATTCCTATGTTTCTGTTGATAGATATGCCATCATTCAAGGAGTCCGATTTTGCTTTAGTCATTAGATAATTTTTATACTTTTAACATCAAATTCTGATTGGGTTTTGATAAACTTAAAGCAAAAGTGTTTCCTTTAAATTTTTGTACATCTCGGTTCAGCGGGTAACATGCATCAGACGATTTGAGGCACTGAGATATGCAGAGAACTACAACACTTTGGAACGAAGTCAAAGTAAACTTTTCAACGACACACAAATAGTTGAAAAATATGACCAAGAAAACCGCAATTTATGAGATATAAGAGAGAATACAGTAATTTATCTTCAATAGCGGCCTCCTTCCTACCAGAATTTAATCAGTCATTTAATCGTGTAGATACATTTGTAAAGAGATCTAAACTACAGAACGGCAACATACGTAGGCAACTCGCTATATTTTCTAACAGCCTTGCCAGAAGGGAATACGACGCAGTGTTACGCTTTTATTTAGATCTGTTCCTCATTTAATTTAAATACATTTTTTAAAGCTACACGCGAACACCGTTGAAGCAATCAAAGAACCTTGCTATCAATTTGAAAATTTTCTTTAAGACGGACGTAAGTAGTAGGAACGGCAGCGAAATTTTGAACGTTTTAAAAATCATTATGCGGTCATTTCCAGAGTAAGTCCTCAATTATCGGATGACGTTAATTGATAATCTGAACAACATTTTCTGGTTTCCTAGGACTGGATTCCGTGCCTATCGATTGCTTGTTTTTCAGGCTCAAGCATTTTTTGAATTCATTCCTGAATGAACGGTTCATAAAACCATAAATGAACGGATTTATGAAACTGGATGAGTAGATTAGAAGAGTCGCAAAGAGTGCAAGCTGCCGTGGTATGAGCCAGATATCAGACACAAAAAAGATGTTTTGAGCTGGAAACCAGAGGCTGAGAAAGCCGACGACAGTGACAAGCAGAATTTTGCTGACTCGAACATCTTCTACATTTGCACTCTGCCACGAAACATTTTCAATGTGTATCTTCACAGTCTTGTAAACCTTCCAGTAACAGAAAATGATGACAGCATACGGCGAATAGAAAATAATTACTGCAGTTGGTATACCAACTTGCCTTGAAAATATTGTCACAGGAACTGCGAATGCTGGCTTCACAACATTGGGAAAACCAAATACAAGCACAGAGAGGGGAGCAAGAAAAACGAATGTAGCCCACACCATTAATGCTGTGGAGATGATGAACTTCTTTGTAAAAAGAGTTTGGTATTTTGCTGGCTTTACTATCTTGTCGTACCTGTTCATTGCCATCAGTGCCATGGTGAATGTGGAGATGTTCGTCAATGATAACTTGGAAATGGTTGCAAAGCGAGTCAGAAATGTTCCGAAAGGCCACTTTCCAGTGGCCAACAAGACAACTGAAAGCGGCATAGTTAAGAAAGCCAGAGAAATGTCTGTTAGGGCCAAGGAAATGATGTAGTAGTTGCTTGAGTGACGAAGCCTTGGGTTTCTTCGAACGGCATAACAGACCATGAGATTCCCAGATAGAGAAAGAATCATTGTTAGGCTGAATGTGACAGTCTCAAATACCACAGTCGCTGTGTTTCTATCTTGCACCTGATGCCAAAATTCAAGGATTGTGTC